GAGGACGAGCAGGGATGCCCGTCTGCGCAACTGCCCTGCGACGTCTTGCTTCTTTCAGTGCGCGGCCCCTGGAAGTCCCGGCCCTTCCCCCGGGACCCGCGAGGGCCCCGAGAGACCACATACATGCATGAGATAGATTGCTTAACGCATACTGCACCACATATAGTTGGCACCAGATATATACGTATATATATATATATATATATATTGCACCACGTAGATTGCACCACATGGTTCACACCACACGCACTGCATCATAAAGATTTCGCTGAACATATATTGCACCATATAGCTTGAACCACCTAGATTGCGCCACAAATAATGCACCACATCGAGTGCACCACATATGTATAGATAGAGCTTGCTGGATGGTTTTCGGAATGCCAGGTCTCTCATCCAGCCTCGTCTCGACTATCTCTGTTAAATTTTGGCTCAAGATCGCCTGGCGGCGATCGGTTCGGGCGCCACGGCGAGCCACTCCGAGGGCGCCGCCTCTGCGCGATCGGCCCTCCTCGCGAGCTCGGCGCTGCTGCTCTGGAGCCAGGCAGGGTGGCACTTGGCGACCTGGGCTGCGGGACGCTAGGGGCCCGAGGCGGCGCGGGCGCTGTCCGTCGCGGGGGCGCGGAGCGTCGCCGCGCTGGGCGAGGCCGCCCAGGCCGCCGCGGGCTGGGGCTGGCGGGCTCTGCACGCGGCCGCGACCCTCGCGAGCTCCCTGCTTGCTCTCGCCTGGGAGCAGCGCGGGTGGCTGGCGCGGGGAGCCCGCGCCTGCTGGTCACGCTGCCGCTCGGCGCTGGAGGCCACCTGGGCCTTGGGCGCGCAGGCGGTCGGAGGGCTCCGTGGCTGGAGAGCGGCCCGACGGGCCGAGTGCGCACGCGCTCACGAGCTCGCAGCCGCTTCAACCGCTCTCGAGTACGCTCTGGTGGAGATGGCGCTGGCAGGTGGTGTGGCCGTGGGAGCGGCCGGCCCTTGCTGGGTGCTGCTCTCCCGCGATGGCGAATAGGACGAGGTCCTGCTCTTCGGGCAGGTGCACGGCGCGGACTTCAGCCTGGCCCTGACGACGGATGCGACAGGCCTGGCGTTCGTCTGGGTGCTGGTGCGGCTGCTGCCAGGGCACTTCCGCGCCGTGGTCGTGCCTGGCGGGGGGGCCCCCCGCGCGCCGCCCGTCGGCATTGCGGGAACCCTGGCCAACTGGGTCTGCGAGCCGCCGCACGCCGCGGTCCAGTGGGACCCGAGCGTGGCCGAGCTCGCCGCGCTGCGGCTGGAGGCCCAGGGCGTGGCCGCGGCGCTGCCGACCATCGGGCTGGCGCTAGGGGTGATCTTCGACGCGGGCTCGCAGGCGGCGGCGATCCACGCCTTCATGCCGGTGGGGGGCCCCCTGCCCGCGGTGGGGGGCGGCGCCGTGGTGCCTGCGGCGGCGGCGGGCGCAGGGGCGGCAGCTGCGGCCCCGCCCGCAGGAGCGGTTGCGCTACCCGCCGTGGGCGCGGCGGGGCCCGCGGCTGCCGCGGGTCTGGGCTTCGCCGCGGTGGGAGTCCCCGACGGAGCAGCGGCGGAGGCTCCAGCGGCAGGAGGTCTGGACCTGGCCACGCTGCTCAGCGAGGTGCGCGCGATCCAGGGCCAGCTTCAGGACGGAGGCAACAAGGGCGGCAGGCACGACAAGAAGGACAAGAAGTCCGACTCCAAGAAGAAGAATGATACTAATAAGAAAAAGAAGCGGTCCGACTCCGGCGGCTCATCGAGCTCGAGTGTGAGCAGCTCGTCAAGCAGCAGTGCCTACCTTCGGTGGCGCGGGCCAAAGGCCAAGAGCCGTCGAGTCGAGCCTGCGCAGGAGCGCAAGCTGGAGACCGAGAAGTTCAAGGCGAAGGGCGACCTCCTGGCGTTCGCGGCAAAGCATCCAGGGGCGCTGTCGGGCTACTTCCTGGCGACGGTGCGTCGCAAGCTGAGCCGCGGGCGCCTGACGGAGACCGAGCAGCTGCGTCACGCGTCGGTGGCGACGTGGGCTCAGGCGCATTCGGGCCTGAACGAGCTGCGCGACCAGCGCGAGGTACAGACGCTGGCGTTGGTCATGGACCTGATCAACACGCAGGACCTGGCGACGGCGATGGACGTGCTGGCGCAGCGCATCATCGCGATCCAGCGGGCCAAGTCGAAGGGGGGCTCCTGGGAGAAGGCGGAGGCCGCGGAGTTGCTGGCGGGGACGGGTGGCGGGGTCGCTGCATGCGGCCTCTTGAAGCTCACCATGTGACGAGGTGGCGGAGGGCGCGGCAGAGGTGGCTGCGCCGCGGAGGCCAGGAGTGCACTCTGGCTTCCGTCTTGGTCGGTCTCGGCGACTGGCTGAGCTTCGCGGGTGGCCCCCTGGGGCTACCCCTACGGCGTGGACACCTCGTTCGGCCTCGTGTCGTGGATTTCGGGAAGTCATCGCCACTGGTCTTCCCAGTCCTGCTGCTACGGCGTGGTGACGCTGAGCTCGCAAAGTACGGGCGCCAGCAGCAGGGCGCAGTTTTGGTTTGGGCAAACATGTGCATCGTCGCTCTCAACGATCTGTACGACGGGGACGGCGACTACAACATGGTGCCGACGCAAGCCCAGCGACGTGTGCCAGGGCGCATGCTGATGGGTGTATCTCGCTTCCTTGCGGCCGAGTTGGCTTGGCCAGAGGCGGCGTCAATGCAAGAGGTCTTGCGCCACTCTGACGGCTACGAGCCGTCCAGGTGCGTTGCGGAGCCCCTCGGCGAGCGTGGCGGAGTCCATGACCGCGCCGCCGCCGTCGACCTGGCTGGGCTGCTGGACGAACACTTCCCTGGGCTTGCTCATCAGGTTTGCTGCCCCCGCTCGCTGCTTCTGAGCGTGGATCGGCGGCCCGCCAGGCTCAAGAGACTTCGCGCGCTGGCGGGGCCCACCTACCCGAGCCTTGTGGCACGCAACGTGGCGGCGGGCCTGCAGGGGTACGGCTCCAAGAAGAGGGTGCGCAAACGTCATGGCGTTGCTCTCGTTGCTGGGGCCTTCGGCGTGAAAAAGTCGGACGCGGAGCAGCGGGTGGTCTCGGACCTGCCAGTGAACCAGCTGCTCGACCCTGACGCTCTTCCTCGGCCGACCTTCGCATGCCCGCCTTGGCTCCGCGTCGTCAAGGCGCTGCCGGGCGCGCGGGTCAAGCTCTGGAAGCGAGACATGCGCCACTACTTCCACCAGTTGGCGATCGGCAGTGCTTGGCGGAAGCGCATGGCCCATCCACCGGTCCCAGGCCCGCGTGGAGGAGGGGCCAAGGTCTACCCGTTCCACCGCGCCACGCCGATGGGCTTCGCGCCGTCGGCGGGCTGGGCGCAGGCGGCGTTCGACACCGCGTTCCTGAAGGCAGGGCTGCCGCAGGAGCGCAGGGTCACGTTCGACAAGCCCTGCCCTACCGAGCTGCCGCTCTGGGGGTCCATCGTCGACGACCTCTGGGCTCTGGACGAGCGCTCTGCGGGCGACCGCGCGCGGGGCCAGGCCGCCTTCTGGGTGGCCAAGGCCGATCGCGCCTGGGACCGCATGGGCGTGCCAGTGCATCGCGGCAAGTCGGTGGGCGGCGGCGGCGGTGAGTTCCAGGGCACCGAGGTTCACCCGACGGAGCACTGGCTTGGAACCGCCCGCCGTCGCCGCCTGGACCTCTTCGCGGCCGCCCTCGCGCTCCTGGGCCAGCAGCTGGTCTGCCGCAAGGGCGTGGAGCGCCTGGTTGGCAAGCGCGGGTTCTGTCAGAGCTATCGACCTTGCCTGCGGTCGACGTTTCCCCAGGTCTATGCGTGGCTGGAGCGCCTGCCGCTGCAGGGGCGCAAGCCCGTGGCGTGGTGCCCGTCGGCGTGGCACGAGGTGCTGGTGTCGGCCATCCTGCTGCCGTTCGCGGAGCAGGACCTGGATGCGGACTGGTGTCCCCGCGTGGAGTGCACGGATGCCGCGCCAGGTGGGCATGGTCTGGCCTGGGCGACGCTGAGACTTCCTTGCCACTCATGACCCTGAAGCTTGAATGCTGGCAACAGTTTCACAGATGGAGGGCATATGGTTTTCAACATGTGGCTCTCGCCTTAGCACCGCGCACACTCTTCTTCAACGTTAGGAAGAGCTTCGCGGATTGTGTGCAGGTGGATTTCGAAATGTGGTTCTGGCCTAAGCGCCGCGCGCACTCTTCTGAATCATTTGCAAAAGTTTCACGGGTTGAGGGTGGCTCCTTTTTCACGAGGTGGCTCTCCCCTAAGCGCCGCGCACACTTGTTTCAAATCTTTGCGCGGGTTACGCGGATTGAGGGCGGCTCCTTTTCAAACTGTGACTGTCGCCGAAGCGCCGCGCACATGCGCTTAGACGTTTGCAAAAGCTTCACGGATTGAGGATGATTCCATTTCGAAAGGTGACTCTCGCCTTTGCGCCGCGCACACATGTCTTTTTACATGAAACATTGCAGCATGTTCACTAACCCTCATGGCGAATATACCCGACACGGCATTTTGGAGCGGTTCAGGATTGTCACCGCGCAACAGTTACGTTGATTCGCTGTGGTGAAGTCCCAGGAATGGTGTTCTGGCGCTGCTCAGAGTCGCCAGGATGCAACAGTCAGTTTGATTCGTGGCGTTGAAGTCCTGAGAATCGTGTTTTGGTACGCTTCAGGGATTTCTCACGGCTGTCCCTCAGCTGGGCAATTAATTCCTTCAGTGGCAATGAACCCTTGTAGGGGCCTATGAAGAGGGAGCTTTGAGGGAGGGTGCATTCCAACTTCGTTGGTGAGTGTTGGGTTTGCACTGGTCCTCCTCCTCCTCCTCCTTCTCCCCTCCCCTGAGCCACGAGGCTTCCTCCTCCTCCTCCTCCTCCTCCTCCTCCTCCTCCTCCTCCTCCTCTCGTATGTATTATCTTCTTCTAGCTCCTCCCACCTCCTTCTCCGTCTCCTCATGCTCCCCCCCCCCACTCCCCACTCCTCCTCGTCCTCGTCCTCGTCCTCGTTCTTTCCCCCCCGTCGTTGCCGTCGTCGTCGTCGCCCGAAGGTGCTGGACGCCTTCGAGGGTGGCACAGACGATGACGGCCTGCCACCCGCTTTCGACCTGTCGGATCTAGGGGTGGGGGGGTGGGGGGGTGGAGGGTGGGGGCGTTGGTGCTCTGGCAGTCGTTGGTGGGATCTCGAACGCACTTGTCGTCGTCATCGTCCTCCTCCATCTCCACCTCTTCATCTCCACCTCCATCTCCACAACCTCCATCTCCATCTCCACCTCTTCATCTGCTGCTCCACCCTCCTCACCCTCATCCACGTCGTCTTGCTCTTCCTGCACCGTGTGCAGGAGGAGGAGAAGGAAGACGACGGCGACGACACCATATCCGAAGAAGACGACGACGACAACGAACATTACGCCGTCGACGGGTTGACGATGTGAAACGGGGAGGGCGAAAACAGGATGGATGATGATGCTGATGATGACGCTGACGATGATGCTGACGATGACGATGCTAATGATGATGCCGACGATGCTGACGATGATGCTGATGATGATGGTCATGATGATGCTGCGGATACTGATGCTGATGATGATGCTGACGATGATGCATGGGTTGATGCGGATGATGATGCTGATGTTGATGATGCTGATGCTGCTGCATATGATGTTGTTGCTGATGATGATCCCGATGCTGCTGATGATGAGGCTGCTGCTGCTGCTGATGATGATGCTGATGCTACTGCTGCTTATGCTGATGCTGCTGATGAGTATGCTGATAATCATGCTGCTGATGATGACGATGATGATGATGATGATGATTACGATGATGATGATGATGATGATGATGATGATGATGATGCTGCTGATGCTGCTGACGATGATGCTGCTGCTGATGATGATGATGATGCTGCTGTTGCTGCTGATGATGATGCTGATGATGATGATGATGATGATGATGATGATGATGAGGCTGATGAGGTTGCTGATGGTGATGAGGATGAGGATGAGGAGGACGAGGAGGAGGAGGAGGAGGAGGAGGAGGAGGAGGACGGCGGACGAGGAGTATCACGAGGAGGAGGAGCAGAGGAGGAGGAGGAGGAGGAGGAGGGAGGAGGAGGAGGAGGAGGAGGAGGAGGAGGAGGAGGAGGAGGAGGCGACGGCGGCGACGACGGCGGCGGCAACGACGGCAACGGCGGCAACGACGACGACGAGGGCGAGGGCCCCCCCTCCGTGGGCAAGGAGCGCGGGTCCGAACTCGGGCCGCTGCTGAAGGGCGCCTGGAACGTCGAGGTGGTGCTGCCGAAGACGCTAAAGGTGGTCCTCCTCCTCGTCCTCCTCCTCTTCCGCCCTCCTCCTCCTCCTCCCTCCTCCTCCGCCTCCTCCTCCTCGGCCTCCGCCTCTTCCTCCTCATCTCCTCTTCCTCCTCCCTCCTCTTCCTCCGCCTCCGCCTCCTCCTCCTCCGCCTCCTCCTCCTCCTCCTCCTTCTCTCCTCCCCCTCCTCCCCCTCCTCCCCCTCCTCCTCCTCCTCCTCCTCCTCCTCCTCCTCCTCCTCCTCCTCCTCCTCCTCCTCTCTCCTCCTCCTCCTCCTCCTCCTCCCCCCCCTCCCCCCCTCCCCCCTTCCCCCCCGTCTCATCGGCACCGTCAGGAGGAGCATCGGCAGAGGACGGCGGGTGGCCACGGGGTCGCCGCTGGAGGCAAGGCGAGGATTGGAGGGCGGCGTCCTCGAGGCGCGCGTGCGCGCCCATGCCTTTGAGCTGTCTACGCCCTGTCGCTGGGCTCGGGGCCGCGACGCCAAAACCATGAGGCGAGGATCGCGGATCTTGCCGCGACGGGTGCGCTGCAGGGGGGGCTGGGAAGGATTTCGGCTCGTGCCGTTCTCGCCTTTTCCGCGTCTGAGGGGGGGATCGCCCGTGGCGATGGCACGGGGTGCGCCTCGGGGCCCCTGGTCGGAGCGCGCTACAGGGCAGGCCTGTGGCTCGGCTCCTTGTGGGGGCCTGCTCCTCGGATGGAGATCTGCGCTCCGCCCGTGCCGTGCAGGCCCGCAGCGGCGAGTGTCGCACGAGGAGCGGGCGTGGCTGTCTGGGAGCTCCCCGCATCGGCCAGGTGGGGGTGCGCAACACTTGCCTCCGAAAGTGGATGGCGCGGGCGGTTGTGAGCCGGATCGGTGCCTCAGGCGCACCACTGGGAATGCGTTGCACATTGGCCGTGACCAAGCACAGTGCCCCGCGGGAGGGTCGATCGACATATTTGTGGTGTACGCCAGTGCCGCTCCGTGCAGCCACTGAAAATACAGCGCGTACTCTCCGTATCCTGCTGCTCTTCCTGCTCTTGTGTTTCCTTCCCCTCGCCTTTTACCCTCCTGATCATCCGACTGTCCCCCCATCTCTCCCTTTTCTTACTGCCCTGATTGCCCTCGATCTCGTCATCCTCCGCCTTCTCCTCACTCTTCTTTGCCTCTGCCTCACCTTCCCTCTCCCCCCGTTCCCTATTCTCCTTGTTTTCGTCCGCATCCTTTTTCGCAACATCCCTCCTCGTCCTTCGCGTTCAGGTTTACCTCCTCCTCCTCCTCTTCTTCCGCCTTCTCTTTGCATCTTCTCCCTTCCCCTTCTTTTTGTTCTCCTTTCTCCCTCCTTCTCTTGAGGGGGAGGGAGTTGATATCGTCACCTCGAGGTGGTGGAGGCCATGAAGGCGGCTGGCGTCAAAAAGTTCGGCGTCATTGGCTTCTGCTATGGCGCCTGGCTGGGTATGCACCTCTCCAAGGCGTCTGGCCCACCGTCTACTGGGAAGGGGGTATAAGCGCACCGGCACGATGAAACACGAGGAAGGAGGTCGAGAAGAATGGAGAGGAGGAGGAGGAGGAGGAGGAGGAGGAGGAGGAGGAGGAGGAGGAGGAGAAGGAAGATGATGAGGAGGAGGAGGAGGAGGAGGAGAGGAGGAGGAGGAGGAGGAGGATGAGGCGGACCAGGAGTAAGTGAGGAGGAGGAGAGGAGGAGGAGGAATGAGGAGGAGAGGATGAGGAGGAGGAGGAGGAGGAGGAGAAGGACGATGAGGAGGAAGAGGGCAAGGGGGGCAGAGGAGGAGGAGGAGGAGGAGGAAGAGGAGGGGGGACGATGATGATGAGGAGAAGAAGGAGCAGAAGGAGGACGAGGAGGGAGAAGAGTAAAGGTAAGAGGATGCACATGATTAGGATCAAAGCGCGGGGGAGACGAGGGGGGGGGGCGGAATGAGGATGAGGAGAAGGGATCAGTGGAACGAGGAAGTAGATGAGGCGGAGGAGGAAGCGGAGGAGGAGGAGGAGGAGGAGGAGGAGGAGGAGGATAAGGATGAGACGGACGAGGATGATGGCGAGGAGCATGCTGCTGATGATGATGATGATGATGATGATGATGATGATGATGATGATGATGATGATGATGGTGAGGATGATCATGATGGTGGTGATGATATTTGCGCAAGGATTTTGTTGGTGGTGGTGGCGATGATGGTGGTGGGGATGATGATGCTGATGATGCTGATGATGCTGATGATGATGCTGCTGATGATGATGATGCTGATACTGATGCTGCTGCTGATAATGATGCTGCTGCTGATGATGCTGATGACTCTGATGATGAGGCTGCTGATGATGATGATGATGAGGATGATGATGATGACGAGGAGGAGCAGGAGGACGAGGAGCAGGAGGAGGGATGACCAGCGTTAACCCACGACTCATCGACGATATTGCAATCAACCCTCCATCCAAGTTCCCTCTTCGTAGGTACCTAGGTGTACTTTCACTGAGGGAAGTGCTCCCTTGGAAGAGAACCGCCTGGATATCTTGAACTGTGCCAGAAACCGATTCCTGGGATTGCAACGCGGCGGATCAACGTTACTGTTACGTCCTAGCGATTCGTGCCAGAGCTCCATGCCTGGGACTTAACACCGCGAACCAACGTGACACTTGCCCCCCGGCAGCCCTACATCGCGCCAAATAATTGTTTCTGGGACATCAGCCACACGAACCTGTGATGATGTTGTAAACTCTTAAGACGACTGTGCGCGGGTCTTAGGCGAGAACCATATTTTCAAAAGGGTATCGGCCTCCATCTAATGGCCTTCGGCCCTTCCCGCCACCGTGCTTGGGTTGTGGGTCAGAGTTCTCAGGAATGCTTCCTGGGGTCTGTTCGGAGCGCTCTCGGGGACCTCTTGAGGCAGTTTTGGAGCTTCTGGGGAGCCACTAGGGGACCTCTCTGGGGGCCCTCAAGAAGAGAGGGCCCCAGGACGGCCCAAGAACAGAGAGTCACACGACAGCACAAGAGGGGCCCCAAAGGGCCCCAAGAGGCCCCCAAGAGAGCCCCAAGAGTGCCGTAGGAGGCCTCCAAGAGGGCCGAAGAGGGCCTCTAGAGGGCCCTAAGACGCCCCGCCCCCCCGAAACGGCCCAAGAGGTCCCCAGAACGGCCCAAGAGGGCCCCAAGACACCCAACAGAGTCCCCAGAGAACCTCCCGCTGGACGGTACAGTGACGGACGCAGCTTTGATGCCAACGCTCCCAAGATCACCAGGTGATTGGAACGCCGCGAGCGCCCTTTTCACACGAGTCGGTGACGTAAGTATCTTTGAGCGCCAAGGGTCTCAAGAGCGAGCAGCGGGGCAGAGATTTCTGAACGCCCAGGCTCCCAAGAGCGAACGGTGACGTAAACAGCTCTAAACGCCAAGGCTCCCATGAGCGAGCGGTGACACAACTCTTCACACCAAGGCTCACATGAGCGAGCGGTGGCGCAAAACGCTCTTAACGTCAATGCCCCCAAGAGCGCACGATGACGTGAAACAGCCCTTCAAACCAACGGTGACCTGAAGAAGCTCTTCAAGACAAAAGTTCCCAGGAGCGAACGGTGCCACGAGTCCTCTCGGATAAGGTTCCTGGAGCGCTCTTGCCGTTCCCGTGCCAGCACAGGCTCCTAACAGGTCCACTCCGTGCAGGCACGGTGGCTCATGTTCTATTGTGGGGAGCTGGTGTACGTCGCACAAAAGGTTAGCCTCTTCCTGAAATTGATCCATTGAGCGTTATCGCTCCAGCATTGGACTTCAGCTGTAACCCTGACGCGTCTTCAGCGTTTGCCCTGCGTGACCGGAGGTGGCAGCAACGGCCCCGAAGGAGCAGCTCGGGGGAAGGTCTGGAAGTGCTCTCGAACTCCAGACAGGTCTGTTCAGGCCGATTGCTGTCACATGCCAGCAAGATTTGGTGATATATTTCCAGGCTCGATATGGCTCTTGTAGTGACAGTGACACTGCATTCCCGCACGCGGGCAAAGCAACGGGCGGCGTTGCCGTTGCCGTCGGGAACACCGTCACGAAGCGCAGGGCCCAGAAGAGATGCTGCGACCAGCAGGCGGCAGCCGCCGAGGGCGCCCGCGTGCGCGAGGACTGCAATCGCACGCGCCCAGGCTGGAACCGGAAGCGCAGAGAAGATGGAGGCTTGCCCGGGGATTCGGAGAACGTGCAGTCGCACCTCCCACGCCTTCGCGGGCTGACCAGCGGGAGCTTGGGTGCTCCTTTTAAGTCGGGCCTGCCCCCCTACAGGGGGATTTTCGACGAAAAGTAAAACACACCCCAAAACTAGTCAACACATAGTACAAAAATAGTCTGGGGACTATTTTTTTAGTATTTGTGGGCCCTTTTGGGATATTTTGGGGGTATTTTTTATTTTTCGTCGACAATCCCCCTGTAGGGGGACACGCCCGACTTGATGCTACTTCCGCGCGCCGTCGGGGGTGCCTGGCGAAGCCGACGAAGACGCACACGCGGAGGCGCGCTCCGTCCAGGCGCCGGGTGTTCAAGCTGTATAGTGCTGGGTAGCGGCAGTCGTTGGCATCGGTTTCGCGCGTTTCTGCAGGCTGTCGAGCCTGGCAGCCTCAAAGGGAGGGGGACGGCAACGAGGAGGAGCGAAGCAGGTCCAGAAGTGTAGCCCGCGCTGGGGCGAGAGCGTAAATGTAAACGATGGGAGCAGATAGCCGAGCCTGAAATGCGGCCAATGCTTTTAAGGGGGAACGCAATTTCCCAAGGACCCGAGTCGGTCCGATTGAGCAAGGCATCAAGAACGAATCGATGCTTGGGCTCCAGTGTGCGGAAAACCATATACGGGAGGGGGTCCCCCGCAACACCGTATCAGCGGAGAGGGGATGTTTTTTTGTTCCACCATGGTGATGTCTGTATGTCTATTCATGCAGGCAGGGAGCAAGGCTCGACCTGGACAGCTGAAAGCTCAGGGTGCTTACCCCTGTAAGGCAATCTCCAGGATTGTAATGCTCATTTGGACTGGGGGAGGCCTTGGCAATCCTTGCCAAGCTTCTTGACCTGACCCCCAGTCGTACATGAGGTGTACTTGCTGCAATCGTAAAGTAAGGTGTTATCGGTCCCTCAAAGCAACGAGCTGCTGATTGTGACGGGCAATGACCAAGATCCGCTTGGGTGTGGAACCTCGACAGTCGTTGCAAGGAGGCTTCTGCTCCTTCCTGCTCGTTGCCAAGCACACGTGGCACCTCCAAAAACTGCGGCATAAAGACCAATCGTGATTGGAACTGGGAGACTTGACTTCCCTCCCCCGCCCAGCCATTCGAGGGACCCCGTCTAGGTTTAAACGGGGTCAGGCTGGGATCTTTAAGACTCGGCCTGGTACGGCATGGGGTGGCGATGAGCTCCCCTCGTAGCCGCCATGCCACATTCATTGTTACCCAGCTTACGGCAAGCTTCGATGCCTTCTAAGCCTTCGCCCAGGGCATGATCTTTGACCTGCAGGACCCGGGAATCGAAGGAAATACTCAGATTCAGCATGGCACCGCGTGCTGCTTTTAATAATTCAGCTCCTGGGAAAGGCGGGAATTGAAACTCTTGGTGGCTACGTTCGCACTGTCAGAGAATCCTGCAGACAGGGCGCGGAGGGGCTCACCGGATGCCCCAAGCCCACACAATTCACCAGTCCGGGAGGCTTGAGGGAGCCAGCCAGGAACAGGGCCCTGCAAGGTGCAATCAGGGTCCTGATTGTCGTTGCCCCCAGCCGCCCCCCAGCCAGCACGACGTAACTCAGGAATTGGGCTTCTAAGCCCAAAACCGTCAAACAATACCTGCCCCGAAATGGCTGTAATATCAGGTCTCGGATCAGCAACCCACCAGACCACAGTTCCACCTTGACGGGTAGGTGGAGGAACCGTATATCCAGGATGAGGAAGCAGCCCAATGGAAAACACGAGTCAATCAGGATCTTCGGGAGCAAGAGCGCAAGCACGTTCAATCATCGATGATTGGATTCCCCTGATCTGGTCCCACAGCTGGCAGAAAAGCACCGGCGACGATGGAATACACTGTCGGGCCCGCCGCTCAGCGGGCACGCGATGTCCTCGAGCAAATCGCTTGCCACCTGTGCACGGGGACCTGTCCAAATGGCAAGTGAACGTATACAGCCTTCCTTGAAGGCATTCCGTTTCTTAGAGTTGAGCTCCTGAACACAAGTGTTCATGCAGAATTTGGCACAGTCCTCGAGCCTATGGGAAACAGCCGACTGCTTTTGAAGTTGACGCAAACCCTTTCCCTTAGAAGCTTCTTCAGGGCTGGTGGTGAGGCCGATTGAAACTCGTTGGTCCGTGACGCACCCGGTGAAACTTGGCATCGTCCAGCCTATGCGGTGCAGAGAACCTTGCGACATTGGACATGCTACCTTTCTCCAGGACGGCAGATCCCCTGAGAAGGCTGACTCCCAAGCTAACCTGAGAGTGCTGGAAGGAAT